AAAAAAAAAAAAAAAAAAAAAAACCAAAAAGGGTACATCGGGGCAACTGAGACAAAATCAATATCAGACCATGATGACCCTTATATCAAACTATTATTATCAGTATTACGGAGTGCGTACTCCGTACTTTACAAGACATCCGCGCATATCGTACGGAGTAGTATATCTTGAAATTCGCTTTTTTTTTTCTGGCTTCCCAAAAAAAGCTAGTCTCGTGCGTTGATTCGTGCCAAACGGAATCCCGAACCCTCCCCCCCACACCTACACGCGTTCTTCGTCCCCCATTACGGGAGGGGGCATCTAGGATGTTTAGTGGCACGCTAGAGTGGATTTTCTTCCCCTTCTTTTTGCTTCTTTTTGCCCCTCTCTGGGTTCTTAGTGGCCTTCCCGTCTTTCTTCGATGGATTATTCAGGTCCAATCATCACCAGAACTCCACCGGTTTTGGGATTTTATTGTGCGGTGTCAAGGTATGCCACTCGGGCATGTCCGTCAATAGCACTCAGGCTTGATCCGGAGGAAAATTTCCCATGTATATACACATTTAAAGGCTTCTTCCGATCATTCCATGCGTTGAACATCGAATGTTACACATTTCCCTCCGAAGGCCCGAAGTAGATGCCTGCCCACAATACGGAGCATAGTACGGAGTACATTAAACAGAGTTTCATTTCCATGTTATAACCGAGGACATCAACTTAAGTTGTACCTAGGACGTATGCCGAAGGACCGTGTCTTACTCCGGACATCGTTCCACATTATATGGCATACGTTGGAGAGTACGGAGTACACATCGAACAGTTTGTCCGTGGCAAAAACAACAGGAAAGATCTTTCGTTCATTGCACAAGTTTCACATTTCACACCGGGAACACAGAGATACTATTGTTAGCTTCTCGTGTATATTTTCCAACCAAATCGGTACAGTATGAACAGACCCAAGATGGCAAGAGTCATCAACGTTGTGTATCAATCGCCAGAAACATGTCTTATATTCCAAGTCAGCCTCAAAATGTTCTACAATGTCTCCCGCCAAACCTAATGTACGTCACACATAACTCGGACACTACCCGATCGCTTGCCACCAGTGCCCACTTGTTGTAGATCCGACGATCATGTAATTCGGTTTCAGATTCCAAAGTTTGATTTCTTGTTTTGTGAGGCATGCTTTGCGGAGATGGATCTCTCGGTGGCACGAGGAAGCCGGGAATCCATTTCTGCCAATCTTTCTATCTGGTAATGTGAGGAATACGCGACGTGAGCTCCATACAGGGTCGGATTGAAAAGCTGGCGCTGAAGTAAATATGCTGGTTTGATCGGCAGTTCCAAGTATGAAGGGAAGTTGCCTATACATGAGAGCAGTTCCAGCCAGATGATGACAACTAGGCCTAGTATGGGAGTTGAGATTGTGTCTAGGGCCAATAGAGAAGGCAATGCTGAACCCGAAGGATTTGATGATGATTCGCAGTAACTGTAGACTGTATAGGTTGTACAAAAGAGCTTCAAGGCCCTGGATGCAATGAATGGTGTCTGTTGACCACCAAAGCACCAAAGCATGATCCCTTCGTTCGTTTTGTTCACATAGCATCATAGGATTGCCATTGATACAATGCTCTTAATACAGCGATGCCGCCAGACTGTGTTTCCACCGTGCGGCCTCGGCCACGATCGTTGTAGTCTTTCGGCATGGGGCCTATAGTCGAGGACTTGATTTTATCATCGGCATTACGGTAGTCAACAGCATCATCCGGGATAGTGCTGCTGTCTACGATCTCGTTGGCATCCAGCTGGTGATATGCGCGGCCCCACCAGGTGCCAAACTTGCCATCGCTGTCGCGAGTCATAAGAGCAGCTCGCGCATTGTGTCTAACCCAGGGACCATAGGCGCGGCACTGCTTCATATGCTGCTCATAGACTTCGGTCCCGTCGTCGTCTGTTGCATGTCTGAGGATAGCGTCCTCCAGGAACTGCTCCTCTTGCGGCCGAAGAGGCCGACAAAATCCAGAGAGGTGGTGGAAAAATATCCCTTTAAAGGTCTGTCCATCCTGGGAGCAGACTCCGCGAGAATCACACGCATCCTCAAGCACACCTCCCCGACCAAGTCCCTTCCACTGCTGACTAGATGTATTCAACCATCCAGTGGCTTGCAGTACTTGGTGAACAAGCTCATGACCGTCGCGCAAATATTTTTGCGAGTTTGTGGCTAGCCAGAGTCCTCTCAGCCCGCTGAGAACGACTCCTTGATTGTAGGTGTAGACCATAGAGTTGAGCTCGTCGCATTTTTTGGAGCCGGGATTTGATGCGCTTTGCCAGCCGCTGACGTGGTAACCATCTGCATAGAGGCCACCTATCCCGGTCATTTTTGAGTTTTTGAGCCATTCATACCCGTCAACCGCAGCCTGAAGATGAAGAGGGTCGTGTGGATTCTTCCGTGCGGGCTGTGTACTTTGTGAGTCGACAAAGAACGGGGCGTCGATGGAATCTCCGGGGAAGTACAAATACATCTCGATGCTTGCAGAAATATAGAGCTCATTCGTAATTGCATTTTTGTACGGTATCAAGTATGGGCTCCAAATCATGCCGCCCTCGCAGAGGGTCTTGTCCCAACCAGCCGAGGCGAGCTCGTAAAAGATGCGTGCTCTGTGTGCAGCAGAGTTCTGAAACTGGGTACCGTACCAAGGCTCTCCAGAATTGTTGTTCGAGGAGACATAGTGAAGATCCGAGTGAAGATTTTGGAACTTGATATTCTCCAACCACCCTAGCACGACCCACAGCATGTCATCGTATGCCTGGTTTCTAATGCTAAATGAGTTTTCACTGAAGTAAAACGCGGAAGTTTGGCTGAAAAATTGATTGACCGTATTCTCAAGCCTGAAGAAGGAGAATCCTTGCAATTCATCTGTGTCGGGAATATCAAGCGGACCTGAGGTTAGAGATGAGAGTGCTGCCGAAACGTGTGTGCCCAACACCGCCGCGGTCCAATCGATGCTTGTCGGCCACGTGCCCTGCCACATCACAAAGTACCTGTCTTGCATGACCTGCAGGGCGGTGATAAGATCCTGCAAGGTATTCAGAATGGGGTCGTGAGTTGATCCTTCCGGCGCTGGTCCAGCACCCTCAGAGACAGTCTCTTTAGAGGGACTATCAATCAAACCGGAAAAAGCAGGGACTCCTAAGACTTCCTGAGATGGATACGCCAGCGCATTGGCCACAGCAGAAAATGATAGGAAGCATAGCATAACAATACAGCATGGAGAACGTGATAGCCCGAAGGGGGTAAAAGAGATGTGTTGGGGAGCCATTCTGCCTTAGGACATATATCCTGTCAGAATTAGATCCCCAGACACAGGATTCTGGAGTCCGTATATAAGAATGTAGAGTAAGGAGTGTGCAATGACAGCGACTAAAAAAGAAGAACAGCGATAACCTCATGCGCCATGCGGGGAAAATGGGGAACCCAGCAAGGATTAAGCTTAGTCACCATACAAGTGCGGGCCCGGCCCAGCCCTGGAGGTGAAGACATCCACATCCAAATGGCATCAAAGCCTTTATCTAGGTCACCCTGTAAACCCATTGAAGCTCTCTGATTCTACTCCGTACAAGATTAGCTCTAAAGGCCACACTTTTTTTATTCTCTGGCGCCACATGGTTGTCGCATGATTAATCCCGCTCCGTAAGAATCGAATCCTACATCATGTAGGTACGTGTACTACAGAGGTTCTAATGTGCGATTTTTGATTTTTCCTTGAACTGAGTCACACACCAAGTGGTCATAGTGAAAGGTCACTTGTAACCAAGAAAAATCATTCTTCGTAATGTACATTACCTCTAGAAGCTGGGCTTTGGGTCCAAGGTTGACCTTGATGACCAGATGCTCATGCGCCAATTTTCAAATTTCATCAAAGGAAGTGCCTTTCATTTCTGAGTCTAAGTCAGCATAGTTCTAGCATAAGATTAAGAACGAATATCCATACCATTATGGCAATCTAACGTGGCGCCGGCACGCACCTCTCGTGTGCATGTGTCCCCTGCACACCCACACTTGGCCTATGGACCCATACAGGTTCGATTGAAGAGAGGCCGTGCCGGCGAATGATAGATGACGTGTCTATCATTTGTAGACAAATATTGGCAGGAAGGGTGGGCAAAGTATCAAATGAAACAGCGAGAGGCATTGAAAAAAAGATTGCGAGAAAAAGCGAAGCCCAGGTATCAAATGAAAGATCACAAGCAATGTATGCTAGTCAAGTTTTGTCGTTCCCATTCACGAGGAAAACTTAGTCCCGGTCGCCGCCAGCTTCGGGGCTGCGACTCCGGTTGGGGCTTCTGCTACGATTCCGAATAGCTCGGCCCTTTGGCCCTCCGTTCTTGTTCTTGCCTGATGGGGGTGGACGGACAAAAGCATAGTCGACGTGAAGCGTCTGTTCGAGGAGCTTGTAACCGTTAAGGTTCTGGATAGCTTCACTGGCCTCGGGGAGAGTGGAGTATTCGATCAATGCGTAGCCCTACCGAAAAATTAGTGTTAGAGATCATCTCATTTGATGTGAGTCGACAGTAGTCCCCATATCTCAGAAGCGACGTTGTTGATGATCAGTTCAGAGGGAGTTGTGCGATTGAGGATGCGCACCTTGACATAACCCGTTCGCCGATCAAGGTTCAAGCTGAAGTTTTTGATCTCACCATACTCCGCAAAGAGTTCAGTTACATCCTCCTCCGATGATTCCTCGTGGATATTAGAAACGATGATAATCCACCCTTCGATGCTGCGCACGGCGACCGCGTTCCCTTGGGTGCGTGGCTCAAAGCTACGGTCCGACTGCTCGGGAGCGTCGCCGTCGTGTGCGACAGGAGGGTCAATTTCCATCTCGGTCGACATGTTGTGAGGTAAAAGAGCAGTAACACTGGTGCGACTGTAGTGGTATTATGTTGGGAGGTTTGGTTTGCACGTTTGTAGTGGTCAATGAGTCTGGGTCTGTATCGCGATCTGAAGTCTGCAGAGGGCGGAGGGCGGTACTATTGGGCGGTCTTGGGCAACCTCCCCGTAGCAGAAGCTTTCAATCACATGACCACGACCTGCCCTTTCTATTTCAGTACGTCTAGTAAGTTCGAGCCCATTGCATTGTATCTACCATGGGTAAATGTATTTAGGCGATGTCTCTTACGATTCTGAGCCTAAGCCAAACCAATTTATTGATACTGTTGTAGAAAGCTAGCCATGGTACCCAATCTCTACCAAAAACCTGATATGGCGAAGCATGTTCATCTAAACCTAAGCACTATCTTTCTACATGTGCGACCAACTTGTGGGTGATTGTCACTATGATATTTGTTTGCGTTTAGTGATGTCTTTCTTTCTCTTTCAAGGCCAGAATGTGTATATTCAAATGATTGTGAACTATGTTATTAAATGCAGCAGAGATGTCAAGGGAGAGGAGATTTTTGTTCGCTACCCTCTCAGTTGTATGTCTCAGCAAGTACAAAACAGCGATTCACTGCGCTTGCTCATAAGAAAAGGCATCAAAATTCAAGAGCAAAGGGCAAAAAGAAAGGTACAAAAGAGATGACCAGTTGGTTCAAATACAGGGTTGTCGGACAACCGAGAGAAAAAAGAAACACCAAGTCTGGGTTTGGACAAACCCATAGTTGGGTTGCACAGTTAATACAGTGGATATATAAGTAGCTTAACGACGGTTGTTGCCCATGCCGAGGATCTGGACCATGCGGATGAAGATGTTGATGAAGTCCAACTCGAGGCTGACGCACTCGTTGACCACATCACGTTTGATCAGGCCACGCTCGGCAAGACGGGCATGGTGCAAAATCTTCTGCACGTCATAAAGAGTGAACCCACCGAAAACAGCAAGACCACCGTACAGCCAGAGGCGCTCAGACCACATCAGAGTGCGAACGGCAGTAGCAGGGAGGACCATGGGGGCGAGTCCAGAGAGAGCAACGATGGTCACACCAGCGAGAAGGGGGCCACCCAGGTAAAGATACTTCTCCTGTTTGGCAGTGGCACCGACAAAAGCGATTGAGCCCATCATACCAACAGTGTAAAGACCAGCACGAGCGAGAATGGCAGGGTTCATGAACATCAAGGGGGAGAGAAGAGCAGCCTGGGTAAGGTTGAAGACAGTCCAGCAGCCATACTTCACGACGTAGCTAATTGAAAAGTTAGCTGATTTTGTTTTCCTTTAAAAGAAGAAAGAAAAAGGCGAAAACTTACTTATCCGGGGAAGTGTAGAAAGTACCGTACATGGAGCCGATGCTGCCAACAAGACCGACACCCATGACGAGCCACGGGTTCATAGCCATTAGACGATAAGACCAGCCGCTCATGTGGAGGGCGCGAGCAGCAACACCAATAATACCAATACCAAGACCGGTGTGCATAAAAGTCTCATTCAAGAAGCTCCGCTCGTAAGCGGGCATGCCGCCGTCCTCTCTCGTTTCACGGTTGAAGATGAAGTTAGTTGCCAGAACAGTACCACCAACAATGGCAGCGCCATACACCAGTTTCTGGGTCATGTTACCACCCTGTGCAGGGTTGAAGCTCTGCTGAATATATGTACGGCGGAAGGCATTTTGGAAGTTCTGTCGGGACTTGGCGAAGATCGAGGACGGAACGCCCTGAGGCTTTGTTGCTTGGGTAGGCTTGATGGGAGAATTGTGAATGAATCGAACGGTGTTTGTGAGCTTAGGGACCTGACGAAGCGCCGAGGATACGGCGAACGGCCGCCGTAAAAAGAAAGCCATCTTTGCGATGGGGATGTGTCGAGAGTCAAGATTGAGAAGATGATAAATCGTCGGGCCCACGGTTGATATAAGGCGATTACTCATGTTCCGCCCGCGACCGCTTAAATCCGGAAAATTCCAGAATTCGTCACGTGGATCAAGAAGTGGGATGGGTTTGTAGGTTCACAGTGGACTCATGGTGAACTCCAGGGCTCACTTTGTATTTTTTTTTATCAGATCAGCCTGATTACAAATCTGTCATCTTCCTTTGATTTCGGGTTTAGTTCGATTTCAGTCATGGCCTCAAGTCTAGAGACGATCAGCCTGCCACATCTACCACTGATGCCCGTGCATGTTGCTCTATATCGCGATGTTCAGAATGCCGCCTTTTTGAAAGGTCAACTCCTCGCCGGTCATGTTGAATTCGAGTATGCATTTATTGATGCAAGCATGGTATGTTGATTAGTCCCCGAGAACTAAGAAAAGTTACTAGTCCACTGACACCAAGAGATAGGTTCTGTCAAAGGCCCATGCCACTGCTGCAGTATTCAGAGCAGTTAATGACTACATGCACAATAGACTGAAGTCTCATAATGTGCATTCCGAAATCGTATTCTCATTGAACCCTACGAATAATGTGGGTTGCCAATTCTAGGAGTCAGCTGCAATTCTTCCAAAAAAGCCGGGGCTAACATGGACTTAGATCACCGAATCGTTCCGTAGATTCGGTATCACCGATTCAACCAAAGACCTGTTGGTGATCAAAGTTTCTGTCTCTCCGGAGATAACACGTGAATCCGTTGCGGCCCACTTGGACAGCTCGGTTCAAGGAACACTTGTGCCTTTCAATGACCAGGCACTCACCAAACTCTCTGATATCAATAAGATCAAGAAAGCATACAAGCTAGGGGCTCTGCCTTCACCAACGGCCAAGGAGAATGACGAGGCCAAGCAACGACTCGAAAATTCATTGTTGAGTGCAATTGCCTTGAGAGGATCGTGAACAATCGTCATCATCAAGCAACCAAATTCACTGTGCCTGAAAGTTCCAAAAACCGCTTTGGGACGAGTGGGAAATCTCTTTATTTCTCAAGCTCTCACTGTTTTTCTCCAGTGTGGGTCAAATTGAGCCCCAAATTGGCTTCACTTGAGAATCAACCCATTATCAATCACAAGTAGATCACCATGGTTTTTCTAAGGTCCACTATTCCCTGGCCCCAAGGCTGAGCCAAGAACACCAGATCTCTCTGTTGAGACAGTGCACGAAGTTAAGGTAATGATCAATTAAGTGAACTACTTTAGGAGCGCAAGGCATGTTTTTTATAGTTTAACGCGTCTGATTCTGGCTGTTTGTTTAGTGTGATATGGTATAGTAGGATAGTAAAAACACGTGGATCCATTGAAATTGAGAATGAGCTGATCATATCAAGCATCCAGTAAAAATTTAAGATGAATCCACCCTCTTAGGATTGAGTGTAGTTGATTGCCCGGCTCCAAACTTTGCCAAGACCGCGGCTGATCGACCGTGTTGCAGCGAAACATCGAACTTGGATCTCTAAGCGCTACTTCGCCAGCATACCCAATTTGCATACACTTTAAAAATTTCCCCCTTCGGTTTAAACGTTGCCTAAGAAATGTCTGATACAGCAAACTCAAGTGATATATGCGACTCGCCCTGATAAATCAAGCAAACACCCCAGAGACGCGATTCAGCACGATGGCTCGCATTGCAGATGTAATCATTCTGTCGTCCTCTCCAAATCAACCGCGGTCGCCAAGTCTGGGTAGGCATGATGTAAAGCTGGTATCTCACACCTTGCCACGAGGTGCAACGCCACCGCCAATACGCTCGACATCCGATTTGGCTGAACCTCACACGCGTTCCCGTTTTTTCCCCATCCCAATCGCGAGCACAAAGTGTCCTGAGACCGTGACGAAGCCGAAAATGGGATTGACAAAGAAGGATCCTACTTCGAGCACCAGCAACCAAACCGCACCGAGCAAACCCCGGCGGAAGGCGAAGAAAGTCGCGGATGGGTCAAAAACAATTGCGCCTGGGGGCTCTCAGCCAGAGACTTTTGGCACACAAAACGACGCAGCGAAACCAATCAAAGGGCGTTCTCGAAATACTGCCAAGAGAAATGATTCAGGAAACATGACTTTGGCTGGGAAAGTTACGAAGACAAGCGGCGACCCACCAGCAAAGAAATCCAGCGAAGGGGGGAAGAAGAAAACGATTGCCACAGAACTATCTTCTTTGGAGGATGCACCGGCGAAATTTTCCTCCAAGGAATCCAATGTCTTAGGAAAGGACGAGGTTTTGCATCTGGACGAGGCAGTGAGAAGAAGGATAGACTGGACACCACCGAGGGAGACCGCTTACGAGGGAATCGCTACCGTGAACAATGGTGGGAGCCAGAGTAAATACCATGATGCGAATCTTATGGCTGGGTTTGGCAAGCTAGTATCCGATTATAATTACTCTGGGTTAACTTTGAATCCCCGCGACTTTGTGCAGAATGCAAATAGCGGAGGACCAACAAAGCGTCGACGGATAGAGCTGGTTACTCCTGAAATCCAAGCGTTGCTCAATGGAAGGTCTTCTGATTCAAGTGATCAGACATCTGCGCAAGGGAAGAAAATGGCATCCTCGGGAAAGCCCCAAAGGACAGTCAAGAGCAAACCTAAGAAGTTCACCACCTTGACGGCACGCATGACTGCTCAATATTCAAAAAATGACGCAGAAGAGGATGAGCTGGTGATTGATAGCCTTCCGGATACCAGAACGACGAAAGGAAAACGAAGAAGGGCAAAAGAGACAGAGAAACAGTCTTCGTTCGCTGTACTTTCCCCGGAAGCGGCTGTCGAATTTCTAAATGATCAAGATCTTGTATTCGGCACGTGCAGTCAACTGGAAAGAGATGATTCGCCGCAGACTCTGCGAGAAATTCAGCAAGCCATCCGTGCCTCCGAGGGCCTTTCATATCCGGAGGGGACGCACAAAAAGGACTCCAGGACGACCCAAGAATCATCTACTCGTTCTGTTTCAAGGTTGGCAGGCACTAGGAACCTGTGGTGTGTTGGCGCCAGAGACACCGAAGGGTCTTTGATCCAACTAGAAACACTCAACGTGGTAGACTTGACGGATGGGGGAGAGCCTCCTGCAAAAAAAGGTCATGATAACGTGGAACAAGCAAGCCAAAAGTCTCTTCGGAGGGACTGGTTTGAGCTTGAATTCCCAGACATAGATTCACCCCCAGAAAAAAGACCACCATTAGCACCTTTGACCGAAAGAGACTTGGATTCAGACACGCTTGTTCAAGCTCCAGCTCCTATCCTGGCAGCTACAGCTATGCCTATGACCGAGGCAAAAGCTGCAAAGCCTGCAAAGCCTGCAAAAGAAGCCGAGAACACCCCGACTGAAGCGGTTGATTTCCAGTCCACTACCTCTCAGGCATCTCCAATGCCACAATATACAGGATTTACAGACGCGGAGTTGTCTAAGCAAATCTTCACTTATGGCTTCAAGGCAGTTAGGGGCCGCAAGAAGATGATCGATCTCCTTCAAAAATGTTGGGAATCGAAACACGGTAGGAATCTTACCTCTGGCAGCCAGCCTACGTACCAACCCGAGCAACAAAAAGACCCTGTCTCTAAAATGGACAAAGTCCTCAACCCCACCTCGGCTACGAAGACGAAGGCGACAGTGAAGTCCAAATCAGGAACATCTATAAAGAGCCGAAAATCACTTGACGAGACATTATCAACTTCTATCTCGCGGACTAGTCTCCAGATAAGCCCAAAGAAGAACTCAAGAGGGAAGCCTACCACCGGGACTTCTTCATCATTAATGGATGTAGAAGAGATTCAAGACTCAGAAGAAGACATCATCCCCTCACCAATTCAAGTACAAAAGCACTATGCCGACATCTATGCAAAATCTAAGACAAGTGGTCGGATGGAACACAACTCCTTGACTATCTTCACAAAAACACCACATTCAAGTCCGACCAAGCGCAAGGTTGTTTCTCCGATTTCAGTTAAAAGACCATCATCCTCTGCATCTATTACAGACAACCACGCAGCGGAATTCTCCGAAGAGATCAGCCTGGCTGAAATCTCTGCAAAGATCACCCAAGCTGTTCGCGTTCAGCCTCGACTCTCGCCACTCTTGTCATCTCGCGGGAGCCGTATTCGGCCGACATGGCATGAAAAGATCCTTATGTACGACCCTATCATTCTGGAAGATTTCACAGCATGGCTCAATGTTGAGGGGCTTGGTCTCGTTGGTGAAGATCGCGAGGTTGGCACTGCGTTTGTGAGAGAATGGTGTGAAAGCAAAGGAATCTGTTGTTGCTGGAAAAAGAATGTCAGCTGGTAAAAGGCAATTGTTCACTGCATTGAATCTTATTTCAGATATCCTGTGCACGAGTTGGCATCACCTTGCCATTCTAAATTGCATAAGTTGACATGCCCTCTTTGAAACAAGACAAACAGATCGGTTTTTTTTTTGGTAGTTTTCCTATCTACTTGTGGGAAGCCTCTCATCTGTCGCTTAATTACACGAATAGTCCACCGTATTCAAAATTCAAACATTGATGAACTCGAACAACAAAACTTGTCATTATATGCCACTCCTATGCACTCCCATTTTCTCGATCCTCTCACTTCATCTCGGACAGAACAGGAGGATGCAAATAGGAAACCAAACACGAGGCATGGTCAATTTCTTAGAAAATAGCGAGCACTAAAAATCCACCACAATCAGAGTAGACTATGGTGATGTCTTGGGTCAAGGTACAGTTTGTCATTGATTTAGCCCTAAACCCCCAAAGATGAGTAATCGGAACGTGGAGATTTTAATACATGAGATGAGTTCTAGGGAAAGAAGAAAGACATACCTCGTAGTGATCTATGAGACTGGCTCTGTAGGAACCATCCAGGCAGTCCTGGAGCTGTGCGTTCTTCTGTTGAAGCTGTGTGATCTGCTCCCTCAGGTCCTCGGTCCTCTTCTTGAGACTGTCGATAAGGGCTCGCATTTGCCCTGCCTCACCACGCACCCAGGTCTCACCGGTGACACGGTCGGTGACTTTGCATGGGATGTTGAGAATAAGGCAGCAAGCACAGCCTCCAGGATCGGGTGTGCACTTCATCTTCTTGACCTAGAAATCAATTCAAACGTGTCAGTATGGTGTTCTGAGTCAAGGCTAGCTTGATATCGGAATATGACCGGCATACTTTGCAACGATCACAGGCCTGACCGACACGATTGTGAGACTTCGTGACCTTGGCTCGAACCATGGCCGACCAGTCGGGCTCTGGGTCGTAGCGGCTGCGGCGAGTCTTTTTGGCCTTTGGGACATTCTCGCTGGGTGCGTCGCTGACGGGCTCGTCGTCGGGGATTGCTGAGTCTGAAGTATCCATGATGAGATTGGATGATGTTGTTCTGGGCGGTCTTGTTCCTGGAACTGATGGTTAACTGAGTTCTCATCTCATCTTCTTATGTAAATCGCCGAAGAAACAGATTGAGTCTGTGCCTGGGAGTTTGGGGTACTTGCCTTTCATTTTCTAGGCTAGTTCCAGGTTGGGATCACTTTTGAATTTTTTTTTTTAATCTCTCCAGAGAAACAGTCTGATTCAAATTTCATTCTGCATACAAAGCCGTTGTCTTTTTAGTAGAATCCCTTTGTATGTCTTCGCTGTCTCACTGAAGCTCGTAACGAACTGTTAGAACGGTTTTACCGTGTCTGCTTTGTAGACGTAGAGATTCTCGATCAGGGTCTTTAGGACAGATCTATTGTTGTCTGCTCTTGGCTATTTTACTCGTGGCATATCTCATTGTCCTAGAAATTGTCTGTCTTAGACCTCTGACTTTTCCCTTTCTTTACCTTCTTCCAACGAGAGTTGCTGATCTTTTTGTTCTTCTTTTCAATGTCTAGATACCTTGTCTGAGAGGAACTGGAACCTATCTCCAAGGCCACAAGTGAACGAGAAATTGAATCTCCGCGTTGGGGTGTAGAATCATAATCGTACATATCCAATTGTTAGAGGTATCATTTAATGGTCCAATGATGATGTTTTAGTACTTGCCGGTGCCATATTATTTTAATACGTGGCTGTGCCCACTCGACAACTCTTTGTCAGGCTAACCTCATCAGCTTCACACATCGGGTTTTAAGATACTCCTCACACATATTGTTTGTTCATCGGTTACCATTCTCAATAATGCGTAGAAAAAGATACTAGCATTAGTCTTGAGAAATGAGAGCACCATCCGTGCTCACGACAATAACAACTCCTAGCAGGAATTTATGTTGAATGTGATAGCTATTGAAAATGAAATTCGAGACAGAAAATAAGAGTAAAATATATAGAAAAAAGTGTAATAGCAATCGATGTCTCCCAGCTCTGCAAACATAGTCCCACCAAACCCAAGGCTAGCTGATTATGACAATAATGGGGGCAAGTGTAGTGGCGAAGAGCCGATCAGATTTGTCGTAGAATGGGAGAAAAAGAAAAAGAAAAAAAAAGAGACAACTGAAAGAGAAGAGAACAAAGTCAACCTGAAAATGAATGGGTAATGAGAAATGAGAAATGAGAGGAGAAGAAGAAAAAATCAAAAACGAGAGAGCTCATGAGTCTAAAAGGTCGCCTCCTCACTGTCAGTCTCATAATCTAAGGACTGAGTTCGAGATCGTTTTCGAGACACGGTAGATGTCATGGGAGCAGGGTCAGACATAGCAGATGGCGATTCACTTGAACGATCACGCTGTTGTTTTTTCGCGTCTAGAAGTCGAAGTTGAGTTCTACATTGATCAGGTGAGTACAGCCTAGTATCGCCAAGTTCTTTCATCTGAAAGATAGGATCGAAAGACACATTAGAACATTCCCTATCTCAAATGGGCATAGGAATACTCACCTTGTCGGAAAGGTAATGGAATTTATCTTTTACCCAGATCCCATGGGCGCGGATTAGGAGTTTTATCTAGCATTGCGTATCAGCACGGCCTGCTCAACACAAGTATACTCCAGCCCACACAGTTTTTTTATTGGATCTTTTCATACCATGTGCTACGGGGGAGGTACATACTCACATCTGACTCTTCCCAGCGCACCATTCGCTCTCGGAGCCGACGATGAAGACGCATCTGCAGGCGCGCCTCGGAGGCATCTTTGTTGAATCTCTCTCGGAATTCCTGACGCACAACCCTCCAGGCCGTTTGTCTGTCTCGCAGTTCTTCCACAAATGCGTCTTCGTCTTCTGCTTGCGGGTCACGCCGGCCGCGGCCTGGGGCCCGGATCTTAGGGAGTATGTGTGGAGTTGGCTGGGTGTGCTGACGATTCTGCTCCATTCGGAGAACTCCTTCTGGATTGGGAGCGATGTTGATTGGTTTATTACTTGTCTTCTCGAGCGAGGCTGTGTCCAAGGATGGAATTCTGGCGCGTTTGGCCGGTGGTGGACCCTGGGACGACGGACTAGGCGTCTGTGCCACGCCATGCGGGATGTCACTTGGGTCCGGAGCATACAGATAGGCGGGACTGGGAGCTGAAGACCGGGGAAAATCACTCGGGAAGGGCGCAGAGATACCGAGACCCAATGGAGCTGAAACGGGGTCATTGAAATTGTATTGATAATCTTGTGCGTGGTAGCCCTGTGAGTGCTGACTGATTGCTGGGCTGGGATGAAACGAGTTGTCCGGAAGACTGATTGGCGTCAGGAGGCTGGATTGAACTAGAGACTCTGTGCAGTAAGGGCTGATGGATCCCAGGAATGGGGTCTAAATCGTATACGGGGTTAGTTTATGTTGCGGAAGCATACAATGTCCGGTATCAAAGGTGCATAGGTACCTACCGCTGGCATTACGGGCCAATGGGCTGAAAGGTCTTCATAGTACTCTGTAAAATCCTCAGAGGAAGGGATATCCGAGCGATTAGACATGATGTTGACTGGGTGCACTCAAGAACATAAAACACGGGGGAAATTCACAATCCGCTGCGTTTTCTGAGTGGGGAGAATAAACGCCGAAGCAGCAGAATGTGAAACGAGATATGAAACTTGAGGTATGGGAAGATGTGGAACTTCAGGCGGCTGGTAGACTATGGTGGTTTGCTGAATCTTTAAGATATGGGTATATCAACAAGGCCTTTTCGCTCTGAATGTTGAAGAGAAGATTCACGTTCCCAACCATCGACGGTAGTCGATCTTATAAGATTTATGCGAGCCAGAAAAGAGGGGAAGATTTTAAAGCAAGCAAGATGCACAAGTCCACCTGTCCTCCACTTCGAGAGATATCACAGCCAGCACTGGGATGCCTCGTGAAGCAAGATGTGAACAATCAGTCGAGGTATTAACCATAGGCTCAGAGGACACCAAAACAGAGATCAGTACCGCCGACGAGCCTTATGCCGCATTAGAACGTAAGGAAACTCTTGAAGACTCGATGAGAGCCTATATTTAAGCGCTGCGGGCTCAATAGTCCAATGTTGATATCCATATTCCGCCCCCATCCCTGGCCGGGGGGTCAGACTCTGCAATGTGAATAGGAATTAAAGTGAGTCTGTGAATTCAGACCCACTGCAAGGCCCAAAAAAATTAAAAATTAAAAAGGAAAATAAATCCATAAATAACGCAGAAACGCAGAAACGCAGAAACGCAGAAAAAAACGTGTGCTGCTTAGGGTTGTGGATGATCCTCCACAAAGGAGCCAAAGCGTAGCGCTTAGAGCTCTGGAGAGGTCCAGTGGGTGGATTAGGGACCCCCATTTTAAAAAAAAACGGATTTCCATACCAAGACCATTAATTACACTTAATGTTACACTGGATCTTTCAATTTAGGATTTTGGTAATTAATAGACAGTAATCTGTAGACAGTAATCTGTAGACAGTAATCTGTAGACAGTAATCTGTAGACAGTAATCTGTAGACAGTAATCTGTAGACAGTAATCTATAGACAGCAATCTATAGACAGTAATCTATGGACATAAAACGTTCATCTGCCCCAGCTGGCCCTTTGAACGATTCTCTGCACACAGCTAATCTTCATTTTGGCAACCCCCACGTCAAGAAACGAAGAAAAAACCCCCTCAAGTTGACGCTACTGGATTCCAACACACCGGTTGTGGGATGGAAAGATGGAGGGACGATCCTTCTCATCCTTCTCCATGTATTCTCCATTCCCCACGCGTTGTTCAAGACGGGCGGCTTTCGACTGGCCATAGATGATCCAAAATTCCTCTGAGGCTGAGAAGACCCCACGACCCTCTTGGTGGCTTTGTCCACGGAGAATTCATGACCGCTGGTTAAGCGCTGATTCAGACACCCGGTAGCCCCCAGTTATCTCGAAGATGCAGAACAACCTTGGAATTTTCTTTGTGTTGAAGCTTTTGGGTTTTGATTTGGTTTTTTTGGGGGGGGGGTTTCAATTGATTCCTTTCTGTGGGACTCCTGGAAGGTACAGGGAAAAACTTGAGTTGATGTATTTTCTTTCTTCTCCAATCTCCACATTTCTGGTGATCGTTTGCTATTGGGGGCATCTGAGTCAGCTCGCCAAGCCACGTCCTGCTTCTAAGCGCCCGAGAAAAAGCCAGGCGTGTCTGGACCTTGTCTAATGCGCTCACTTCATTTTGATCTGCACAACACACATTTGGAAGCATTGCATATTGGGAGTTGATAGCTCCCACCAATCTTGAAAGTGTTAAACTAACATTGGTGAACTTGGATGTTTCCTCTCGTTTGCAGGAGTATTGCATTTGGCCCCAATTCAGCTCTGGGGTTGGATACCGTGGAAACGTGAGGTTTACAGTAAGAATTCGTCACTCAAAATTGGGCTGTAATACGGTGTTCTCCTGAACCCTGTGCTAAGGATCTCTCAGAGCTGGAACTGCAGATATTAATCAAAAGAAACGTACGAGGCTTTAAAGATCAGCGTTCCTTCCCGGGTGCTCCGAGATCAGTAAATTCCCGAGTGAATGTTATGTTCTCGGGATCCGAGGAGAACGCCTTTCATTAAAGCTGCAGCTAAGAAGAAAAGTCCCCATCCGCCGGTTTCCATGCGTACGGAACGAATCAAGGCAGTAGAAGTCTGCTGACTACGGTGTAGACTTACGGAGTAGACAGGCCCTGAGAACCATGATTCAAAGCGGACTTCTAGTGACATCATTTGACCCCCGGGTAGCATCACGAAGCAGTAGAGGCTGAGCTAAAAACGGCTGCCATAATCTTGGGGCTAGAGTACGGAATGCTCCATAGATGTTGTCATTTCTGAATTCGATCATGAAAAAGACCTGAGAATCAAAAGGTGGGTAGCAAATCTCGGGAGAGAAACAAACTAGAACGGCAGTGGCGGGTCTTCCCGTGCCGTCAACCCATTTAGAGCCTGTGAAGACTCTGCGCAACATCCAACAACCGACATAACTGACATATGGTTATGCCCATGCTGGGACAAAATTTGCCGATAGCAAATCACCACTTAACGAGAAATATTCACACGGTGATCATCGGTTTCGTCCTCGTCCCCCGAAAACCCATCTAAACTATCATCACGGTGGTATCCTTTATTGTGACCATTGCTTTCCAGGGTATCGTCGGCCGCGATGGAAATACCACGAGCGCCCCACCGGTTGTGATTCGGTTGACCATCCACTCCTTCCTCATCGTCTCGAAGGTGCTGTTCTTCGTCTGTGGAGCCTCGCGATGCTCGGAAATTCACCACGCGGTTCACCAGCCAACTGTTTCCGTAGTCCTCGGAGTCAACGACGCCACCATTGCGAAGCTTGACTCGCTGGCGTGAATAGTATACCCATGCAAAGTCGACATAAAAGGCAGTCTGTACAATGCCAAACACAACTGCGATCCAATCGTTGAAGGGCTCCTTGTTGAAGAGGCGGACAATCCAATTGAGGATATAGAATCCTCTGTAGGAGCCCAGAGCAAGCAGATAGTATGAATCGATCACCGTCGGGACGGTTGTCTGGCGAAGGAGAAGAAGCTGCGGCAAAACACACACAGACTCAAGAATAATGGAGAAAGCCCAGCAAAACTAAGTCATTGGATCAGTTAAGCTGCAACAAAGGAAAAGGTCAAGCATATCAAACCTACCTCAATGAACCATAAGTTGTAAGGCTCGCTGTCGAGAAGCCAGATTGAGACAGGTGCCAAAATCACGGATCCAGTCACAGACCACAACCCGAGCTTCCAAGCTCGTTCCCTTTCTCTCGTCCGTGGGTATACTTTCATCATCAAGAAAATTAGATATGATGACGAGATGAGGTAGAATAGCTTGAAGGAGATGTTCCAAATGCTATGCCACGTGCCGCCGCTCGTGTATGTGTGAGGGTCGAATAGATCAAGGTAGCGAAATACGAAGACGACACCGTAAAGTAGCTGTGTGAGAAGTGAGATACCTAATTTGAACGCCTGTGTCAGTAAGCTCTGCAGGGTACCTAGGCAATCGGATTGATACAAGGGATGAACGAACCCTCGGCACTCTTATTCTTGTGAATAGCCCAAAGAAGGACACATATTGAGCCAGCATGAGAGAGATCTCCAATTATACGAAAGATGTTCCATGCCACCATGGCTGGAGGGTGGGATCGGTCAATTAAACAGTGAGTTGAACGCTGGGTGGGTGTGGACACTTGTCAAGCTTTCACCATTGACGTTGGCGCCAAGTGTCTGGCAAGATGGGGGAATCGAGTGGTGTTGAGTAGATCTTAAGGTGAAAGACTTGATTTCTGAGTATGTACGTTTCCTCCAATGAGATGGAAGTGCAGGGAGATGCAACGAGTGAAGGTGTATTAAACGCTCTTGGGGTGACTGGGGGAGTTCGTTATCGGCGATCCACATAAGCTCGGGCCGCGTATCCCCTCACGTGAGGTTGACGTCAGCGGGTGAATTGAAGCTCTGGAGTAGTTGGATGGCGAGAAATGTGGTGATTTAATTTTATTGTACAATGACGAAAGAGAGAGTAGACATTTCGGGGGTTCTATCTTGTTGCCTAACCTTCGGTTCTGGTTGACATGTGCTGTTCAACATAGTGGTCTCAGTGTATATAATGGGAGATACTGACGACATGTGAAACACGGATGTAAAACATTCCTCGATATTTAATTCGACGATCGGACTCTGGAGGACCAAGCACACTGTTCTGGATGTTGATTGTAACAAGTCATCCATTCTATGGTGTAAAAATCGCGAGATGAATTGAAGAAACGAGAGATGCGGGGATGTTTAGGAGCAAATCCTATGAGGACGTACAACTAACTTACTCGGTAGTTATTTGAGTTATCGAAAGTTGATTCGAAGCTCCTCTTAAGCTTCTCGAGTAATACCGATGATCTGGGAGGCATGTTAAAACCAAGATCGATTCATTTGCGCTCATGACCGTGGTGAATTTGAGAAGGCCTAGATGCTTCAGGTGATGCAGGCGACGCGGTAAGATTCCCAAAGCAGATGTCACTGCTGTAACATGAGCACATAGGGCAGTACCAATTGGTCATAACTGGCATTGTTAATGTTTCCAGGAGGGATGGTTACTGATTTTGCTAAGAACGAGGCTTGACCTGATAGGAAAGTCTTAGTTTCATCACCGAACGGTTGGAACAGTTGATCGGGCAAAAACAGTAAGAAATTGGGTGCATGCGAAGAGTCGTTTTATTGTTTTAGCCGAGAATTCAAGAAAATCGGAGACATCTTTGGCTTTGTGGATCAAGGAACTTGATCTTCCTGGATTTGAATTCGATAGAGAAACCTTTTCCAATTTATTGAGACAGGGTGATGCAAGTCATATTTACCCCAGCGACTCTTGGCAGTATCTTTTTCCGTTGACAACATGCCGCACCAAGCAAGATCCAGCACACCTGATCCTCTGCATGCATCATCATCCCAACCGAAGATATTCGACCATTACCACTTGATATCTCCTCGCCAATTGACAATGTCAAGAAATTCAGTAGTCCTGGTCGGCTTGGGCATTGGCGATATTGTCAATTTTCACCAGTTGGAGATTGACAGGGGGATGGACAGTCTGTGTGACAGAAGAAAATGCCGGCAGGATTCTGAGAGGCTGGGCTCGAATTTATACACGCCTTGGATGAACCCCGCGCGGTATTTTGACACCAAAAAATCCTGATAGGGTCCTCCAGGCCTTCTACCCCATAACGTGCATGCCCCTCAACAACGACCTGCATGGGAGGCAGAGAGGGGAAATGGTACTCCGGTGGCTTTACACGAAACCGTCTTGTGGCTGATTTAGCCCACCAAGTCTCGGGTTGGACGGAGACATCTGCTTCTGTCAATTGAATGATATTGATTGCGGGATGAGTTCCCGGGGCCACTGGGTGCCTTTGCAATACTTAGGCCCTCGGGCGTATCGTTGATTGGCATTGGGCGTGTCCTGTCATCCTCGCACGGTGTTGTGAGATCTCGCCGGATCACCGGATTCTGGAACAGGCCACTCGCGGGTCTCTTCGGCCCAAATGTCTTATGGAAGCTGCCGGACGTGGTTATCTCTGCTTCTACATCCTGATGTCAGTCAAATTAGATCACAGGACGAGTCATAAATTGTGACAGGGCCCCTGTCCGGGCATCGGTTCCTAGGCCAGGGAAGAACGGGTTGTGGAATGCACCGGAGAGGGGGAATGGTTGGAGGCGCATTTGAATTGACACTGCATTTTAATTTGATTGCAGGAATAGTCTACATTTGATATAAGGAGCAAAGGCACATTAGGGGAATATTTTTAAGAGTGACAGATGTATAGAGAGAGGTAGTAGAGAGGGGTTACAAGTAGGCAAATAGATCCTAAGAAGATTAGAAGAACGTCAAAAGGAAAATCAAAACGTTCAGAAGCATTTGAACACTTTAAACACCATCAACCATCTCAACTATAAAACCATGAAAATCATGTAAACCATATAACCAATATATAAAAAACAAGATCTACAAGTTGCCCTATCATTACTTTGGTCGTTGTGATATGAGGTGACTCCATCCCCGCTCTGCCTTTCCTCACAACTTCCTCTCTCCTCTTCCTCCTTTCTCTTTCTCTCTGTAACCTTGTCTCTCTCTCTCTCTCTCTCACTCTCTTAACTTTCACTCTCTCTCTTTTTCCCTGGGTGTTTTCAAAGTCTTCTTTTTTTATTTCTTTGGGGGTTCCTCTCCTCAACCTTGCCTTCTCCCCACCAAATTCAAGTCAAGACCCTCCCAGCCTCATGTTCTCCCCGTATTCGGAAGAATTCGAGGTCCCGGAATCGACGCTTCGACCATGCGATTTTGACCTGTGAGCATTCCCTTTGATTTCTCACCCACCCACATAAGAGTTAAAACACTCCGGTCGGAGTCTGGACTTCTCTGTGTCGCAATCTATACCTTTCTCTTGTCCCTGTTACCTTTGTCAATCTGGTTCTGCCTGGGATGCGCCTGTGTCATCGCCTTTAGTGTAACGCTTTCCGAGAGTTGACCAAGGCGCGCCAGTACCAGATCCTGCTAACCCCCCTGCGCGGCTTTTTTTTGTATGTACAGATGAATCGGCACAGTGTGATTGAAAACCGCGTGTGTCTTTCACCATGTCGTAAGTCCCTTCGTCGATGATCTCCGTCCGGCCTCCAGCTGTGGGAGGGAGACTGGGTTGGAAAATCAAGTGCACCGGGTCGCGTTCTTATTACATCGCCTCATCCCAGTTTATGTCTCTTCTGTTCCCTGACCTTTAGTCTGATTAGTTCCCCCCCGACATCTAAGCGTCTCAAGACGTCGGCAACTACCAGCGCCCCCCCGCATATGCTTGCTCAACAACAGATTCATCCATTTCACCGCGTCCCAACCTTTGAAGGCATCCCGATTCCGACTGCTCCTATACCTCAACAAAACCTCGGCACTTCGCGCAAACGTCCTCCTTCTCCTACGGGATCCTCAGCCATGATGGCAGGCCCAGGGAATCCTGCGGGTGGTGGGATTGACGACCCCGGTGCCATTCCCACGGTCGAATCTACACCCAAGAAAAAAGGGCGCACAAATACCCCATGGACCGCAGAGGAGGAGCAAAGGCTTAAGACAATGCGCGACGCCGGGCGCAGTTGGAGTGAAATTGCAAAGGTGCGCGCGCAGCTTTTTAAGGGCTGAAACTATGGGTTGCTGACCTGGGCTTTTTATTTCCACCTGTTGCAGACTTTCCCGACCCGAACCGAGGGCAGTGTCAAGAAGCATTGGTACAAGGTACGCTATAGCCTGTGAGTTTGGTAATACCACGGCGCGTCTTACTGACACCTCACGCAGGACATGCACTACGCGGAATTTGCCGAAGATGAGGTATGATCCCGAACTTTTTTTTTTAATGTCCGTTGTCGCATCCGCCTCTGACGTTGCACAGTCTGTGAAGCTTCGTGAGGCGATCAAGGAGTACGAGGCGAACAAGTGGAAGGTGATCGGTCAGAAAGTGGGAAAGCCTGCTAAAGTGAGTGTCGGAAATTCCTGCAAGCCATTGTGTATCCCATCTAATCTTCGATATTTTCCGGTAGGCCTGCGAACAGTATGCCAAAGAGCATTTCAAGAACGTCTGACTGCCACGACGCCTCTGACGAAGTGATGATATTTTTTCCTTAGCATCTTTTATGAATTTGGCATTCTCTCCTCCGGATTCCCGGCAATTCCAGAGCGATGTAAGTTTCATCGGTGGCCGCTGGAGGCCACTGGTTTTACAAGGCAGATGGAGTTGGCGATCTGGGTATCTTTTCAACGTTATTCTTGGATTTCCTTTATATGTGCTATGAACACCTGCGCATCCTGTTTTGCGATCATGTTTCCCCTCCCAAGGCGTTGTTTTGATCTGACAAGCGTCTTTGTTTTTTTTTTTTTTTTTTTTCTTCTTTTGGCGCTTTTGTGACTATCAATACTATATGATTCCCACTGGTTCCAGTATGAGGAAATTGCAAAAGCAAATATGAGAAACTCGGTACTGTACGTAGTGTATACTGACTCCGTATGTACATACCAAAGTAGGCATCAGTGTCCACAGACAAGGTGGCGGAAAAGTGAATGTTATTTTCCCCCCGCGGCAATCAAATCTTCCCCCTCATTTTTCCCCCACGGGAAATTGAAAGCTTTACATATTTGGTTAACTGCCATTACCTGCTGTTGCTTTGTTTTGGATTTGAAGCCTCTTCAAGGAAACCTAAGCCGCGTGCGATTTCCTGACTCAGTCCGCTGACGCCACAGTGTGTTCATAGTGACTCTTCTCGGAAGGTAACCCAATCTGTGCACCAACGGCTACCATGAAGACGAGTAGTGTGGTATTCCCTCACGATCAAGGTATCTAGGACAAGCCTCCTGCATGAAGACCGGTGTTCGACTGTTGTCGTTCTGAGATTATACGGTTAAACTTGATCTGGGTAATTCCAGCGAAAGGACTCAATGCGCTTTTTCTTTCCTCAGGAATTAGATGTGATACTAACACAATCGCAGCATGGCTTCAGAAAATGAAATCACCGCCTTAGCGGTGCACTCCAACAAGGAAGACCTGGCGACATCCAAGCCTGAAATCCCTGGCGTGGCTAACAAGGATGAGCTACTCTACGCCGAGACCAGGACTAATCGCCGCAATCCCGTCGGATCACGCTTGGGCTCCATTATTAGAGCCTTTGAGAACCAGCTCATTGAGTATAATCTGGAAGCGCGTGGTATTGAACGAGTCGCCGTGGATGATCGCATGAAGCGCAACACGTGGATGTCGTATCTACAAGCCTTCTTGCTTTGGATCTCCATCAATCTTGCACCCAATAACATTACTCTGGGGATGTTAGGGCCGGCCGTGTATGGTCTCAGCTTCCGGGACTCGGCGCTTTGTGCTGTATTTGGAGCCTTAGTTGGTTCCGTCGTCTCCTCTTGGATGGCCACATGGGGGCCCATTTCCGGGATCCGGACAATGGTGCGTAGCACGTAGTGAATCTGAAGGTATTTGACTGTGAAGGCTTATTGGTGACTAGGCTTTTGGAAGGTATTCGATGGGCTGGTGGCCCAGCAAGGTTATTGTTCTATTGAACCTTGTTCAGATGATTGGATACGGCTTGATTGACTGCGTCGTTGGCGGACAAATTTTGTCTGCTGTCTCCCCTGATGGCATGTCCGTAGCTGTCGGTGGGTATTCCAGGAAATCTATACATTAATTGTGATACTAACCTTGATATCTTTAGGTATCGTGATCATCGCGGTTATAAGCTGGGCTGTGGCCACATTCGGCATTCAAGTATTCCACTACTATGAACGGTGAGTTTCAGAAACTCTTGCCATTCGGAACAGTGCCACTAACAAATCTCATTTCAGATTCGCCTTTTTGCCTCAACTTATTGTGGTCTGCATCCTTTTCGCGGTGTCATCCGTGAAATTTGACTTGTCAACCATCTCTGCCGGCGATGCCCGGACAGTAGCTGGCAATAGGTGAGTCTACACTACAGACCTACGAAAGGAAGCCAAGGGTTTCTAACATGGTCCCAGGCTATCCTTCTTTTCTATCTGTCTGAGCGCCGCAATCACCTACGCCCCACTAGCAGCTGACTTCTTCGTTTACTACCCCGAAAACACCTCTCGGGTGAAAATCTTCAGCCTCAGCCTGGCAGGCCTCCTTGTCTCCTTCACGCTGGCCATAATCTGCGGCGTCGGGCTGGCGTCCGGCATCTCCATACACCCAGAATACTCCGCCGCCTACGAGCAAGGCCAAGGAGCACTAGTCGTCGAAGGATTCGGCCCGCTGCATGGCTTCGGCAAATTCTGCTCTGTGATCTGCGCCCTAGGCCTGATCGCCAATACAGTCGCGCCCACTTACTCCGCCGGCATCGACTTCCAGATCCTCGGTCGCTACGCCGAGGCAGTACCGCGCGTAATCTGGAATACCATTGCCGTCATTATCTATACCGTCTGCGCGCTAGTTGGCCGCAGCCATCTCTCTGAGATCTTCACCAATTTCCTCGCTTTGATGGGCTATTGGGTTGTCATCTGGATTGCCATTGTCCTCGAGGAGCGGTATATCTTCCGTCTTCGCACTGGGTACAACTGGGGGATCTGGCGGGATCCGTCTAAGCTGCCCATTGGCATTGCGGCTTTCGCTGCCTTTGTTGTTGGCTGGGTGGGCGCCGTATTGTGTATGGCGCAAGTGTGGTATATCGGACCTATTGCCAAATTGGTTGGCGAATACGGTGCTGATGTATGTCAAATTCCACTTCTTATAATACGTCTTTGAAACTAACTTGTTGCTCACTAGATGGGAATCTACGTTGGGTTCTGTTGGACTGCGCTTGTTTACCCCCCTTTCAGATTCATCGAACTTCGTTTCGTGGGTCGTTAGGTCTTGCCTGACACATGATGTCATGTCCAGGCATAAAACCAAATCTGCTTCTTTCTTGGGCGAAAGTTGACACGTCTCAATGCATATTTGCTTCCCGGGATATTGAGGCTTCGCTTACAATACCGCATTTTTCTAGATACAGACGTGTACATTAGGTCAAAAAGTGGTGTATGGGGTATACTTTAAAAAGATTATCATTTTCTTGGCTCTTTCTATCTGATACTAGCACCCACAACGCCAGTATCAAACAAGTCCTACCAACAGGACCCCTAGCGACATCCCATCTCATAGTCACTACAAACCCAAACAGACAATCATAGATCAAAATAAGAACCCCACCAAACACTCTCATTTCATCTACTAGAGCACTATGGTACAAAAGAGACGGAGGAGCCACGGAGACAGAACAGAGACAGACACGCAGCATAATGTTCACACTGTATTGGGACTTCCAAACAATAAGCAGAGAGAATCGCCATTGAAGATTTACCGGTACCAGTATTCGGGCTTGACATAGTCGGCGAAGGTCTTGGGCTCGTCTTGAGGAGGGGGGTGGTGACCGCCGTCATGGTCCTCTGAGAGCGAGAATGTTAGCATAACCAACAGATTATCCTATACCAAGGCAAAAAGAGAGAGCGGGAAACATACGGGAGTGGGAGTCCTCGGGTCCGACGTAGTTCAGCTTGACCACGTTGCCGCACTCGAGGCAGCGCTCGATGGGGCGATCGCGGGAGACCTAAAAGGTGTAGAGTTAGTCTCTATAGCTGGAGACATTGGCCTTGGACTTGGATGGGGCGGTCATACAGTCAGCCAGTTGACCTGGTGGGAGTCTGCGGGGAAACCGGTGCAACCGGCGTACTGCTCATCACCGGCACCGTTAACGATGATAGGGTTTTCGAGTGTGCCTGCATAAATCCACCAGCTTGGTCAGCCAATGTCTCGGTTTTCGTCCCGGAGCAATGATCATGCGATTCCGCCGTGTTTGGTCATTCAGGAACTGTGATGAGAAGTTGGGGGAATTATCAAGGAGTCATACCCTTGCGGGAGGCATCGAGGGGACGCATGTCGAAGACGTCAATGCCCTGCATCTTTCCGATGAGTTCCAGACGCTCGAGACCGGTGGCCTGTTCGAAATCGGTGGGAGTGGTACCGGGCTTGGCACCCGGAGCGAAGAGGTCCTCCTCAGTCTTGATATCTAGATATCGACAAGAGAAATAGGTTAGGATTTTGTGCTGTGATTTTTGTTGTAGATATCCACTAGGTGTAGAATGAACAAGCTTGGCGTGTGGATCGGGAAAAGTATCCGCATGACCAGCACCCAAGATTCCAGAGCGTCCAATTGCACGCAATTTCTCGAGCGGGGAACTCTGTGAATTTTTCACGAGCCACAGAGGCCGGAAGAAAAGCAATTGACTGCTATGGGGTTGGGTAAAGCACTAACCATCGAAGGACAGGATCTTGCCCTCTTGCTTAGGAGCCCACTTCTTCTCATTGGCTGTAACAGTTTCGCGTTAGCTAGTGATCATAATGGATAGTTCACATCGATTGACCGCAAAAGGCCCCTTATGATCGGGGTACGCGGAGATTGGAGAAGTTGTGCGAAGATCGGATCATGCCATTTTGAGAAGTTACGTACAGCGAACGATGGAGGAAGAGAACGGGCGCTGGGCGAGGGTAAAAGCGCGGGCAGGCGAGCGCCTTGCAAGGGCGGAGGCTGTACGTTGGAGGAACATCGTCCTAGAGGTGAATGGGTGGATGACGCGGGGCGTTTGGAGCAGGAGAGGGAGTTTGGAGGTTTGAGGTTGGGCGAGTTTGAAGCCGCTTTGGTCCGACCTCCTGTGATTGGCTGACTGCACCATCCAATAGGAACGTGAGTAAAGATGAGTCAGCAATTCTGATTGGCAGGAGCTACGCAAGGGCGGCCTCAATTACGAGCGGCAGAACATCCGTTTTGGAACACCTAGGGCTTCTCTATGTAGGGCACGAGGTGTGTTGAAAACACCTTAGGCCACTCGCATAAAAGATCATAAGTCATAGTATACTGAACAAGTCCTTCTAAACTACTCCATAGAAAAGCAGACGCTTCAAGATCATTCAAGCCTTTCCGCTCTCAGCTTGCACGCCGTTGGCGGTATACCAGGCCCAAGCTTCCGTGAAATGTGTGCCCATTTGTTGTCCTCATAGTCCTCCAGCGCCTTTTTCAGTTTCTCATCCTGCTCTAGGACTTAGCGCAGCCCCATTTTCTCAGCTGAGTGGGGAACAACATACCAAAGCATCATCCCAAACCACCTCTCTTTCCTTCAACTTGGTACAGTAGCGAACTTGCAATGTTTGTTGTTTTCGTCCTGGAAAAAAGCACTCAATCTGCCTCCAGGAAAACTTCCAGTGCTCCTTCAGGGTTATTAACATCTCATCTTCCTTGCGACCGAATCTAGTCTTTGGTGCTTTTGGCAAAGGGCAAGGCGTCGGTACTCCTGGAAGGTCCATGAAGCTAAGGTCGATTTGCGGCTGGTATGGCTCGGATTCCTGACCAGCGGAGGTTATACCAATCAATGCTTGAGATGGTAGCCGGTGGTGGTGATGCTGTTGCGGGAGAGCAGTCTGGAGGTAGTCATAGTTCGATGGCTGGTGGGAAGACGAAGGGCCGACATGATCAGCGTACGTCAGATCAGTCGATTCACCTGCTGGAACCGATGGGTCACCCAAGGGCAGATTGAGCAAGATAGATCGATACCCATGATAATGGTCGGTGTCTTCACTGACCTCGGGCCCATTGTCAGTACGTTGTCGTTTTCTGCTACCCTGGATTGGGGAGAGTCTATAGCCGTGTGCGTTGTAGTGCGACCCCGGCTGGCGTTGGGGCGAGTTGTCCGTGATAAAAGTTGATGGGGACCCAAAGGTTGGCTGTACTGTAACACAGTGGTAGTGAATTTCAGTAGACCTATCTTGGAGCAAATGTGTTGTGCCGTTGGGAATGACATCCTCCCGGTTCGCATCTTTACCACCTTCATGAGGAGCGTAGTTAACCATGAAGCCTCGATAAGGGTCCCCCGGTGGTGTAGACATGTATACACAACACCAGGGCCTGTAGCCCCTGCCAGTGACTAGAGTGGCTGTTGGGGGATGAGCGGTTTTAGGGCGTGTTTATTTCCAAAGGAGTCTCTTTCGAGTTGAAAGACCAACCAAAAAAAGGCCTCTCTTGTTGCGTGGAACGATACGAAGAAAAATTCGGCCATGTGTATAGTGGCTAAAAAAGAGAAGAAAGTGTGTTCAACGCGTTATCATGCAGGAGAGGGTATATAGGGTTACTTTGGGTCACATTGCAGGCAGGTTTTGTAGAAGAATGGGCCATGTATAATGTACAAGAGCGTGAGATTTCAATGATTTTTTCCTAGATTATGAGAGAACAAAAAAACAAAGAGAAGGACCTATCTATAACAACATCAGGAGAGACCTCCCTGAGAGAAATCCAACCGTGTGCCGGTGACCAAGATGGCGCGTGCGTGGCCGGGCTGATTCCATCAGTCTCCAGTGGACCGGACTGCAAGAGGATTCTGAATTATCATAGTCAAATTTATTGCGACAGGCAAGTTGTATCCCATCTTTCCGGCCCTCAGAAGTGTTTTTCATCCTTCGCTTTCGCACAGACTCCTAGCGTCTAGGGGAGGGGTTAAAATAGCCCCTCGAAGCAGTAGAAACCCCCTTCCCCCCCAAGAGTTGTTGGCAAAGTGGCTAATAGTGGAGGGTAAACCCCCAAATACCAAAAAAAAACGGGACCAGGGTGAGTCTAGGGTCAAAAGTCAAGAGCCATGTCAAACGAAAAAGACACGGCAGACAGGTGAAGCCTGTCAGACTTTCGGGACATGGTAAATCAAAGAGCTCATTCGTCGGACCGATCTTCCATGCAACTGCACCGTCTTGCTGGAAAAGAGAACATTTCGTATTGGCTGATTGATACGGGATGGGCTAGTTGGGGAAGCGATGGCAGTTCTATAACACCATTCTATTGCACCGGGTTTCTTCGGGGCTAAGGCCTGCAGGAGTTAACCACATTCATCCAATAGAACGCAAGAGAACAGGGGGGGTGAAACATATATCCGAAAACACGATTGGCGTTTGGACTTGACAGCGGAGCTCTATGAGGTTGAATAGACAATTAAACACTGAAAGAGATCAATGTGAGGGTTAAGTTGGGTCACATCAACTTTTCAACCATTTTCTCGTACAATCGCATACAGTCTTACACACCTCTTTATTTCCCGTTGGATGTGTCGAATGGTAGATCAAGATATGCGATTTGGAAGGACTGCCGAAATGTGTTAGCTGCAAAGGCATGATGCATCAAAGCGGAGAGCTTAGGCAGACCTCGATTTCAAATCAAAAGATGTGTTTTTTTTCCATCTCGGACCTTCGGCTGAGTTCTTAGTTCTGTTAGGCGGCGTAGGCCGTCGCATACATCGCAGCAATCTTCATAGGGTGGCGATGCAAACTGGTGCATTCCGAAGCCAACCGCATCCTCGTATACTTACAGGGCTTGTTGACTAATTCCAGAAAGAGAAAATTGAAGTGAACAGGAAATGTATTCGAAGGAAATTCATACTGTACAAAATAAATCCACACTGGCCTTTTTCCTAGATTCTCGCTGCAATACATGAATTATGGCTGTCGTGATACAAGAACCCAGATGAAAAAAAAACAAGAGAAGAAAAAGGACAACGCTTGGAAAAAGAAAAAGAGATTTTGCGCCTGATCAGCTGCACCAGTTTACGCAAAGTTGTCAGACCGGTCAACCCAGATGTCTTCGAGCTCGGCGAAGTTTTGGAAGTGAAGGGGACGGTGTTGGTCATCGTAGAACTTGAGGGGGGTGTCGATCTTGACATAGATAGGTCTCTTCTCCACGCTACCAAATGAGCTGCCCATAAAGCTATAGTTCCACACGTTATCCTCAGGCACGAGGAAATAGCCGCGTATCTTGTCACTGAGGAGCAGCTGACACTTTTCACCCATATTGGTGGAGAAGCCTTGTGGCTGATCCGAGGTTGTGTCCTTGTTCTCTGCGCCCCACTTGTAGCCTGCCGGAGTAAGACCCCAGGCAGCAAGCGAAACGGATCCAGGAGTGAAAGAGACAGTCATGGTCACTGTCTTCTTATCCCAAGAAGAATGCGCGTTCATGAGACGTGCGTGATGTGTGACATCAGCCGCAGACATGTACGGCGGCTCATTACCAGAAACCGTATGGATGATACCGAGTGGCTCCAAATTTTGAAGATAGTCGTGCTGCGGCAATTGGTGTGGCAACTGAACGTCTCGGGTGTTTCCCACTTGGGGAATCATGACAATGGTACGGACCTCCTTGACCTGATCGTTGTCTGGAGGAGAGCTACCGTAGATGTAGCCAGTGACCTGCACTCGGAGATCAGCGATGGTGATGAATCGCTTGAGGACGTTCTTAGGCATGATGTAGGTGTAGCCATCATCTCGAATGTCGTCAGAGGAGACATAGATGTTGTTGGACCTCGTTCGGAGGTTGGAGGTCGCGATTGCACGGGTACGCCACTCTGTCTTCGATGCAAACGATTGCTGTTCATACTGAGACGTGGTGGTGACGATGATATCCTCGCCACGAGCGTTCTGAGTCTTGGTCGTCACAGCAGTGAGTTGCTTCTGCTCTTCCTGCTGCTTCTCGATCTCCGCTGCCTGCTGTCGCTGCAGAGAAGGCGCACTAATCTCCATACCCAGGATGATATCACGAACTTCGCTACTGGTCAAGCTCTGCACGTTGACGTTGTTCTTCTTGCCATAGTCGTTCAAGATCAGATCACGCAATTGTACTTCAACCTTGATCCAGTCCTCATCAGACAGGGATGGCCAGATGTGGTGTTCTTGGGTGATAACAGTCTTATCGGGTCGAAGAATAATCTTGGCCTTGTCAATATTGACGTGAAGAGCCCGAAGAATGAGTATAAGTCGAGAAAAGGCAGTGTACGGGGAAATAGACTTGAGCCACTCATCATACAAGTTGAAGAGCACCATCTGAGGCTCGGTCGCACGGAGAATCATATCGGCCAGTTTCTCGACCTTCATAGCAGCCTGGAAGGGCAGCTGGAGCTCAGAGGCACGAATGGAGATATTAGGGAAATCAAGCAGGTGGACCTCGAGAGGGTCAAGAAGACCCTTACGGGTGACAATGAGTTGCTTCGGTTGCTCTTCCACGGGAAGAGAACGAATGAGAGCTGCGACTTCTTCGGCTGTCTTCCACTTAGCCAATTGACCCAGACGCTTTTGGCCTGCCCAGACACTGGTGTGGATGATCTTTAAGAACAGTTGTCCAGTCCGAGGGTTGAAGATGAAGATTGCACCGTTGATAGGCTTTGTGGTCAAGTTACCCTCAAAGGTTTTATGGATCGTGACGCGGTAGACGTTAGTGTCATCGATAAAGAGTTGAATCTGCGGGCTGAAGAGCTCGGAGTAGTTCTGAGAATTGAGGAACTCCTGGCTGCTTTCCGAGGCATACAGCTGGAGACCCTTGCGGATACGCTCACGCAAGACATACAAAGCTGGGTTAGCTTTCATGATCTTGGCCATAGCCTGCTGAACCAGAGTCTTGAGGCCTGGGAAGTACTGTCCGTAAGCCGAGAAAAGGTTGTATGCAAGATCAACGCCAATCATCAAACCAGTGGCGGAAGGATAAATACTCATGCTGTCCGTGGTGTAGTCGAGGTACTTAGCACGAACGTACCGCTCAATGTCGTGAGAATCGTAGTCACCATATCTAAGCTGCACGTCGATCCAGAATTTGTTTGTCGTGGTCGGCTCGTAGACGTCCTTAGTATCGAATACAAGCGAAGGTCGGGTGACATTCCATTTGTTCGTCGCGAAGAGCAAAATATCCGCACAAGAGCTGTTCATCTTATAGGATTTACGTGGGTGAATAGTCTCCTTTTGAACGGCCTCAATGCCAAGCTGCTCCAATTCCTGATCCAGGACTTGACACAAATCCATAACCACTGATTCGTGGATCTTCTGCCACAGATGGGCACGGAAAATCTGGATCAACGAAATTTTCAAGGTGGGAATCTTGCCGTGCAAGAAGATACCAGTCAAATCAAGTTGCACCTGGAAACCAACGTAGACATTGGCGCGATTGATGGTCGGCGACCACCAGAGGGTGAATCGACGGTTGGGAATCTGGTTCAAACCGGACCGCTGAGCGTTGGTGAGCTTCTTGAACTTCATACTTTCTTCGAAGCCACTGTTGTGCAGGACAAGGTAGTCATGGCGCAGGTAAAGCTGATCTTTGTCGACTCGGAAACCGGCCCATTCTGTCTTCTCAGATTCGAGGCTAATGTTCTCGATCTTGAAACTGTGTATTTGAGCAGTTGAGCGTTCGGCACCCTTGTCAACTACAGGAGATGTGAAGGCGCTGTACAGGCTTCTTTCCTCGGTAGAAAGGGCAGCAAATTCGGCAGCAGTGATCTCCACCGTTTGCCTTTCCGCAGTTTGGGGACCATCAGAGGGGCCCTCTCGATAAAGAACAAGAATATGATTCGGTGTCACCACAAGATCTTCCTTCTCGCCATTGATCTTGACGCGGTACAGGTGGTCGATACCATTCACTATGTTGAAGGCACGGCGAGGCTCTCCATCGGGTCCCAAAAGTTGGTCACCTTCACGCACGTCCTCGACATTGATTTCAGTCCCATCGAATCGCAGAAGACGGGTTCCCTTAGCGAGACACGCTTTTTCCCAGAACAAACCTTCCCAGGACGGGAAAGCCGTTGCTTTGAACAAGGTATGCTCAAGAATTGTTTCGACACCACCCAATGCTTGAATAACATCAGTGCGGTACGCGTTGAGGTTCCAAAGTTTACCGTCGTGCCGCTGGCTGGTCCACCAGAATGGATTGCTCTTCATTAGCTGGTATTGCTTGAACTCAGCGCGGAGTCGGAATCCCTTGTCGAAACTGAGGGTGCTTCGGTCCTTCTGGAAAAGCGTGTTGATACGGGGAAGACCTCGATCCCAGCTGTCCTCTAGGTCTTCTAACGTCAGGCGGCGGTTCTGCTGCT